CTTCGACCTCCCTCCCCCTACCTCCCACCTCCCATCCCCTTGCACACCATCTCGCACGACTTAATTGTACCCCGTTTCCCGCTCGCATACACACCGTATCACCGTTTTCCTGTCCCCGTCTCAATTTACTACTCTCTCTCTCTTTATCTTAGACTTTCTCTCTCTCTCTCTTAATTATATAAAAAAAATTAAAACCCAGCGATGATGCCTTTTACTGCCCCCTCAATAATGCTTTCTTCCTATGCCCCTGAGTGTAACGTACAGTCATAGAAATCATAATATATAGTGTCTCTAATATTTCTATGGTAACAGCTTATGTTCGCATAACTGGTAAATGGATACGCACAGCCATAGCTACATGATATATGTTAAGATTCAAGATGAAAAGTAAATATTATATGTTATACACACACACACACACATGCACAGACACGCACGCACGCACGCACGCACGCACACGAACCCACACACATGCGCGCACACACGCGGTACCTCAGACTTCGCCTGGTTGGCGGTCTGCTCAGCCAGCAGTGCCTGTAGATCGAGGAAGCTGTCCTCATCGCTCGCAACGCTGTCATACAGCGGCTCGTCGTCACTGATCAGGCTGCTCACGCGCTTGTTGTCCGCGGTGGCGCCCCCTCGTGGCGTCGACTCGTTCTTTGGTTTCTCGGGTAGCTCGGGCGCTGTCGAGAAATCAGTCGGGTAAGTTTTCGACACCTTATACACTAACCCTTCTCTCTGCAGGAAGACACGACTACTATATTTGATGTACCATTTGATTTGCCCCTCGGGATAGGGTAATATACCGCTCTTTACTTCTGGGGGAAGGTCATACACTTAGCCTTGCCCCTGGGGAAAGGTTATAGACCTAGCCTTGCTCATGAGGAAAGTTATGCACTTACATTTTTCACGTAGGGCAAGTTGTTTTAGAGTTAAGATCATACTCGTCCTAAAGGAAGGTCGTACACTCACCCTCCTCACTAGGTGGCAACATAATGCAAGGCTTACCACTTCGGGGAAGGTCATATACTCCCTGGAGATAAGGACATACACTCACCCTTCTCTGTGACTGAAGGTCGTACACTCACCCTTCTCTGTGACTGAAGGTCGTACACTCACCCTTATCTCCGAAGTAAGATCATACACTCACCCCTCTCTCTCTGAGGGAAAGTCGTACACTCACCTTTCTCCCTCGGTGGCGACACGATGCCGAGCGCCGCCTGCTGGCGCCGCCTGGCGTCGCTCAGGATGTCGATGATGAGCGTCGTGAACTCGCGAGCGTTGAAGCGCGCCAGCTTCTGCCGGCCCTGGTTGCGAGTCGCCGAGTACTCCGGGTTGACGGGCAGGAACGGCGCGCACTGCCGATCGCCGACGATGACGACCGCCGAACCAGACGACTGTGACTGCTGCTGCTGCTGCTGCTGCGCGGCGGCGGCAGCGGACAGCCAGAGCGCGTCCGTCTCCCGGCGGTCGACCTCGTCGAACACGTCCATCGCCAGCGCCTCGAATAACTCATTGCTGAGCTGTGGAGGCAGACGCGATAGATGAGAGAGAGAGAGAGAAGGGGGAGGAGGAGAGAGAGAGAGGAGAGAGAGAGAGAGAGAGAGAGAGAGAGAGAGAGAGACGAGACGAGAGAGAGAGAGAGAGAGAGAGAGAGAGA